ATTTAAGAAAATTATTTGTATATAAACAAAGTTCAGGAAAAATTTATATACTTTAACCTAATTTAACCTAAAAATTTTTATATAACTATTATAAAAAATTTATTATCATTTTCTTTTCAAATTAATTACTAATAAATATAATAAACAAAATTGATTCAAAATTTTAAAGTTAAAAAGTAATTTTTTTGAGATTTCCCTTTTAATTAAAACCAATTGACGATTCATCCATGGTTCAACCATTGAACTATAAATCATTGCTTTATCCGGTTCATTGTCCGCTACTCCACATAAATTAATTAAATTTTGGCAGTGGAGCAAGCAATTTCATACCAAAGCGGTCAGGTCCTTCCCTAACCCTAACGAGGAGGAGAGGATTAATTAAATTAGTTATTTTATTTACTTTTTTTGAGGAGAATTATAATCAAGTTTTATAGAGAAAAATAATTACTAAAAAATTTCAATAACAACCTAAGCAGCCTATAATGATAAATTTTACAGTGAAAATGATAATTTCTGGAATTTGTTTTTTAATTGTTTTCTTTATTTAGGACCTCATTATAATTTTTTTTTTTGGGGCCAATTAGTTTTTTTATTTATAACATATGAAAATTGGATTGGATATGATGATGACTTGTGCGTTTTGCCGAAGCGTTAATCATGTGTTGCCTTGTGATGTTATTTACAGTTCAACCAACTAAACTGCCATAGACAACCGCCTTAGCTTCTAATAAATTCGTTCGTTCCTCTCTCAAGCTTTGTTCGTTGAGCATTCGAGCGAGAAACAGCTGTTTTCCAGATCTAAAAGGCACCGACAAGGCGTCGACGAATCGAAGATGGAGAAGAATTACTCGCACCCGGGAGATTCTGTTATTAATCTCAAACACCTTCCCCCTATAGAGCCATCCAGAATCGCTAACTCCTCCTTCAACGTAATCCTCTGGTTCCCTTATCCAATATTTTAATTTTCTTTTCCTGAATGTCATTTTTGCTCTAGCCCCAATCGCGGGCATGTAGAAATTTCCATGCTTTTATATGTTGAAGATATTTTGGTTTTCCAGCTTAAGTCGAGCAAATCTAGCACCAGTGCTGGTCCTAAATTTGGGAAACCTAAATTTAATCGGGGGCTGAAATCGTTTAAATATGAAGAAGCACTCAGAAAATCAAATTCTGACTCTATTTCATCTGGCAAAACAAGTGAGACCCGCGGGAACACCACCCCTGATTCAGACTCCGCAGAAAACGGTACATAACTGGCTCTCGTGGATTTCATTTCATTTGAGTTATTTTTTCTATTTGTTCTTGTTCTTGGTGTATACATCCATCGTCCTCCTTCGGACTTCTATTTATTTATATTTGTTGATAACCTCGAGTATTTCCTCTGGCGGAAGAAAGTCAAAGATATCCTTGAAATTCTGCTATAATAAAGCATGGTCCTGATATTGCCCAATCTTTATAACTATATGCCCACCAGTTCTTTACCATAATGGTTTTATTCTCCCCGAATTCTTCGTCTTTCGCAAGGCCAGACTGGTTAGACAGGAGTACCTTTTTCTTAGTTTTCTTTCCTTTTTGGCTTTTTTGTGGTGGGGGAGAGGAGATTAGTTCCTTTGACTTTTGCTTTTTCCGAATTTTCTTTTGTCAATAATTCCTCCTTGTAGTTATCCGTTCACATATAATAATAATAATAATAATAATAATAATAGTAATAGTAATAGTAATAGTAATAGTAATAGTAATAGTAATAATAATAATAATAATAATAATAATAATAATAATATTATTATTATTATATTATTATTATTATTATTATTATTTTATTATTATTATTTATTATGCCAGTCGAGCATAATAAAACACTCCTACTCTGGATTTAGGTATGAAGCAAGGATCCGCTAGGTCAACTCTGTATGAGATCTGTGCTGCAAACCATTGGAAGCCCCCTGTATTTGAGTGCTGCAAAGAGGAAGGCCCCAGTCATCAAAAGAAGTATGCCCCACTGCTTCTTCTTGATATTTTATTGTTTAAATTAACTTAACTGTAAATAATCTACAATGCAGTGTTTTATTTTTACAGCGCAGTTGTTTTGTATTCCATTATAAACAACTGATCCCTTCTAATAATGGAAGTACTGGGAATCAATACAAGCCACATTTTGTGTTGGCCCCTTTTAATGTCAGTTGTCAATGAAACAAATAGACCGACATCAAGAAAGTAACATTTTGTAGAAAACCATACTTCGTAGAGAGAGCAAGTTGGGTATATTTATGAGAAAGAGTGCTTTTCAAAGTTTACTTTAACTGGAGCTATACAACACAGAGGCATACTAATTAAGTTCCAGTTTATTGGATGAATTCTCAGATGTACATTTGTAATCAACTCATGCCCTGTTTAGTGCATTGTGCATAGGATGGGATGATGGTATAAGCAAATATAATCCATGTTTATATTCCTTTGGTAGTTGGCATGCATGAAGAATTGTGGAAGTTTATACAATTAGGACTTTTTTATTTGGTCGTTGCCCTATTACACTTTCTATACAACAGGTGAGAGATAAGCCATGAAATGAAACGGAATCATGTATAATTCTTTTAAGAAATCTTTTTTTACTATCCTTATTTGCTAATATATTGTCATACCACCCATCATTATCGCTATTACTTCCTCCACCAGCACCCCGCTAGTGGCACCATCACCACTGATGCTATCACCTTACCAACTTCATCAGATATACCTCGGTGTTGTCATTGCTGCCATTGTTACCACAAGCATTACTCCAGCTATCGCCATAACCATCATGACTGCTAATATCTTCACCCTACCAGCACTTTATCCATTGTTGTTACTGTTACCCACTATTGCCACCTTCATTACCTTCACCATCACAACCACCACTTTTGCTGCCATTGCCTTCTATTAACACCTCTATCTCTATGTTCCTGTTGCCACCATCATTATCATTGCTACCATGTTATAACATGAGTGTAGTATTATACATCTATATATTATTTTCATCCTATGGTCAAAGACATGCCCAAATATTACAGATTGATGCGATTAATATATGATGGTATAAAATGCTTATATGATGAATAGCTTATACAATACTATTCCATGCCACTTATGCTATCAAAGACGGCCTAACTATAAACAAGTAAGGGTTAGGTGTAGAAATTCTCATGAATTGTAGGACCATGCAGATGAAAAGGTCTGACAGGTAGTTGTACCTGAACCCTTTGCTGTTTTGAATTTATTGTGAAACAGTTAAGGAAGGGTTTCATGTTTAAGAAAGAACAAAAGGAGTGATCTCTATGATATTGAATGATTGGGTACTCATGATTCATTTTGCTGCCTCTTTCTCTCTCTCAACTGAAGTAGGTGATGTGCGGTATTAAATTTTACTTTTGCCAATCTTGGGGAGTAATTGATGATTTTTGCAGATTCACGTTCCAGGTTACTATTGAGATAGAAGCAGGACTGAAAACCGTTGTAGAGTGCTTTGGTTCCCCTCATCCGAAAAAGAAAACAGCAGCAGACCATGCAGCTGAAGCAGCATTGTGGTTCTTAAAGCATCAAGGTCATGTTAGGAAAAACAAACAGAGGGGATAATAGTCACTGAATATTATCATGATCCAAAACTTCCACAACCACCAATATTTCATTCTTCAGTGATGCTCTCTAGACTGGGTTGCCAAAGTAAAGAAGACGATAATCGCCTAGGAGAGCCTCCTATGCTATTTCCCGTCAAATCTTGTGTCCTCTTCCTGGTTAGTGCATTGTCGCAAAATCCAGTTTCTTTCGGCAAATAATCAGGTTTTTCTTTAATTGTGACTCCAGTAAACAAGCAAGGAAAGCAATTATCAACATAAAAACAATTACTCTTTCTGATTCGTAATCTCTCTCTTCTGTTGCATTTTTGTTGCTGCCATGTAGTTGCTTGGGAATTTTATTCCTGGAGATACGAGAAGTAGAGATCATACCACCATCTTCCTCGTTGCTGAGTTGGACGTTCCTAATTTCGTGAAATGGAGAAGGATAACGCTTTGGAGAAAGCCTTTGAAGCTTTCTTATGGTGCTTAATGGCACTACATAGAACTTCTGCCCAGGCATGAGCATGGTGTCTGGCGCAACAATCGCCCACGGCTGTTGAAACACATGCGGATATGCAACACAGCTTCTTGGGTTACGACACATAATCTCTGCTGCAAGCACAGGCCTATCATGGAACTCAGCATGACCACCAGGATGAACAATCCGAAGGAAGATGGTTTTTGAACTATTGGTACATATCCAGCTAGAAATTGACATGGTTTTTCCGTATTTTAGGCAAAAGTGGGATGAGGGAATAAGTAGTGTATGCAATCAATTCAACCCAATGTAAGGAGAATAATGATATCATCCCATGATGGCAAGAGAAGACCTGAGGAGCATATAAGTATAGAGAATTCAATAATGCATGAAACTCTTGGCTGTTGCTTGTTTCATTCATAGATAACATCAATGCATATACTCTTTTATCAATGGGGCGAAATAAATTGTATCACGCAGTTGTCTCTTGTCTAGAGGATGCTCTTTCATCAATTTGTCTTCTAATTCTATTTTTTCAATTAAAAAAAAAATCCATTTGTTCTTGTCAGAGAAGTTTCAGACAGCTTTCCCCCTCCTCCATACATGGATGAACTGGGTGCGTCTTGTGTCTCCTGTCCGTGGAAGCCAAAGCTAATTTAGAAATATCCGAATCTGTGTCTGGAAATCATCAGCCCTGATAGTGAATCTCAAGGAAATCCATTGATGCTTTGAAAAAAAAAATTGTCAGATTATAGTTTCAGTATTATAGAACTTTCTTGCTGTTTTCCTTGTGTATTAGAGACAAATTTCTCGTTTCATCATCGGATTTAACTTTCAAATATCATTAATGAAATCTCTTCTTGGCCAGGACCAAGAAAAGGAAAAAAAAGAAAGAAAATCAAGTCTCTCTTTGTAATTCCATTTGGAGCACTGGATGGATCGTTAAGGTTCATGGAAATTTGGCAGCTAGCAGATAACAAAGTTGAAAACTATGCGATTAAGAGCATCCGCAGATTGGCAGAATTTATCTAGTTATATTGAACATTGACTTGTAAGGTTTTGTTTTGTTTGCTTTTGACGGAACCTTGACTTGTAAAGCTAAACAACCAATACGTCAAATATAATATATACTAACTCTAACAAACTACACATTTCATAAGTTGTGAATGATACAACCGGTTCGTTATACTGCAATATATAAGACCTACATTTGATTTTACAAAAATGTTGGTCTTAGAATTTATTTGAAGTCAAAGCATTTTGTAACACTTAAGATTGATACACGATAACTAGAATTAAACTTTAATTTCATGAGGAAGAATGCATTTCTCCCTTGTTCCCAAAGCACATTTGATACACTATCTGGTTTTTATTATTAGGCATTTTGAACTAATTCATACGAATCAACAAATGATAGTTAAATCATTAAATCTGTCTTAAGTTAATAAAATTTTTTAACTTTATGCCTATTTACAAGGTTTTGAATGAGAGAAAAGTACAAAAAGCTATATTTAAATATTAATTACAGAAACAAAATTGAAAAATAAGTATTAATTACAAGACCATCAAATCTTTCTAAAAAGCACCTTACAACAGAGACCGGGGGGGTATTTTAAACTTACTATATGAGAACCATATATTTCACTTACAATTTATAAATGTCTGGGAGAGAAGAAAACCAAAGACTGATTCTTTCAGCTTGGGCTGTGATTGCTATGCAACAACAATGACTAGATAACCAATAACTCATCTGACAGTGTCCTAAAATAGTATGCGATCTGAAGCTTCACTAGGATTTGCAAACTATCATGACATGCCCTGTCACCACAAAAACATGAAACTTTGCAGCAATATCAGAGTTTTAAACACGTCCAAAATCAATGCAAATTCTCGGAGCAAACTGATTCTGAAACTCTGAGTGATCCTCCCAGCTCCGTGGGTACCAAAGGGATGAGAGAGTGCAGGACATCAGTTATTAGCGGCCGATAACTTGGTTCTGTTTGTACACAAAGTACAGCCACTGCAGCAACCTGCAGAATGTTGATACTAGTTATAGAACTTGCAATCATTAGTACTTATGAAAGAAAACTTGTGATTATGGTGCTTCTAATCAATGAACCTGATATAAATGCTTCAAATCCATGGTGTTTCTGATTACAGGATCTATAATACTTGGAATCTTTGATCTGTCAGTTATCTGAGGCATGGCCTGCATGCAAGTCATAGGTTTTTTGCTTATAATAAATCACCAAGCCCCGATGAACTGAAGAATTTTCAGCTAAGTTGAGGATATATTACACCCTTAATAGTGTGAAATTAACATACCCATGTGACAATGGATTGGTATTGGTCTGAGGACATCTTGTCCACGGCTTTTCTTCCCGTTAGAAGCTCTAGAAGGACAACCCCAAAAGCATATACATCACTCTTATCAGTTAGCTTACCTGAAAATATAAGATTTTCATTTGCCCCTGACAACGGCATAAATTAACAGTTTCTTGGGTTCTCAGAATTGTTGACAGAAGCATGATGATGCATTGAAAATTAGTCTCAAATAATGGAAGGCATCCTTTCCTTTCCTTTTCTCAAGATGAAGATAATTTTCCCAAAAGAAAAAGAAAAAAAGCTTTCGTCCCTAAATAAATCTGACTTTATGCACCACTCGGCATTTAGAAGTATCAAGATTAAATGAAGACCACTTTCATGATAATATTGTGCTTATGATTAACTTGATAGATTTAACACATCAACAAATGACTATGAAATTAGTATGCTAGAAAATTATACTGAATTTACAACACAAGACACCGTGTCCGTCTTCGAAGTCATACTTAAAAAAAGACCTCTTATAATATTTCTAAATACTTCATATCTGTAGAAACTTCACAAAAATATTTCTAAATGGGAAAATGAAGATAACAAACAGGAGGAGCAGTGAAGAAAATAGTTAAGGAAGGAGTAAGCTATTTGTTCTGATGATGACAAATACTTCTTATGTACCATGTGATATGTACTCAGGTGCTACATAACCCAGAGTTCCTGACATCTGTATGTTCTTGTCTTGCATTCCAGAACTTACAGCAAGCCCAAAATCTGATAGCTGAATCAATCAAAATTCAGCAAAAACGAGCATTAAGTAAACAGTTAGGTTACAAAGACATGCAAATAACAAATGATTTTGGATCTGACCTTGGCATTAAAGTGAGAATCCAGGAGAACATTAGAAGATTTTAGGTCTCTATGAACCACGGGAGGATTAGAGTGCTCATGAAGATGTTCTAATGCCCTAACAGAACCAGAGATTGTTAGATCAGCCTATGTAATCAAAACAAAGGATTCAACATCAGATACTGTCACAGTAAGATTCCCAGACTTACCTGGCAACATGAATGGCAATCTTTAACCGGAGGTACCAATTTAAAGATGATCCACGATCAGGTCCTACAGTTGTGAACACAAATGAAACATATGATGCTTATGAACCCTATATATAGTATTATACTACTTCCTCTTATGAAATAAATGAGAATTGATACCATGTAATTGAGTTTCCAAAGATCCATTCTCCATCATTTCATATACAAGAAACCTTGATTCACCATGAATACAGTAACCAAGAAGTTTAATGATATTCTGATGCCGAATCTTGCTTAACCAATTCACTTCATTCTGCAAATTTATCCAATAATTGGAGGCAAACTCGGTAAAGAGCAAAATCATATTTCAGGAAAAACAGATTGCAACATAAATAATAAAAGGACCCTTACCTCAAATTCTCTATCAGCACTGCTATCTGCTTTCTTCACAGCTGCCTTGAGATGCTCATCAAAGCAAGCTCTGTACACTAGCCTAGATCCACTCTCACTCAGAATATTACTTTTGGCAAAGCTGTTTGTTGCAACGTCTAACAACTGAAAGTCAAATATAGCAATTGCACTCTTCTTTTCTGCCATTTTTGAGTAACTAAATTTAACATCAACGGGGCTAAGTGACACCCCATTTGCAGCTTCTGCAAATTCAATAAACATGTAAATGAGCGGCGGAAAAGCAAAATTATCTGCACTCATGTTCTACAGATAGAAAGAAAGAGTTTTTCATGCAAAAAGATATAGATACCGATGGTCTCAGGGCTTTTAGAACTGGGAACTTTGAAAATTTTGCGTCGATGACACCAGATATATGTTAAAAATAGGAAGATTGAGACAAGAAGAGCAGAACAAACAATAAGTGCTATTAGAATTCTCTTGTCCAAATTCTGGTGGTGCCCTACTCTCACGTCCGCAATACCTGGTTCAACAAGAAAGATAAAACCACATATATATCATGATCAAGAAGCACACGTAGATTATTAAATACGGTCAAAACTTCAATAAAAATGGCAATGACACATGATTATAAGGGGGAGGGAGTGATTCAGGTGAACCACATAATTGAATTGTATCATCAGCTTCGAGAAATTACTTGACAATAATATCAACAGGCGGGAAGGAGAGCCTCTGAAAGTGAGCAGCTTTCTATTGTCTAATTCTAATAATTAAGCAAAAGAGAGAAAATAAACTTTCATCATCAGATCTATGGCTGAAAATGGTAATGCTTAGAAAGAAAACATAGTTATTTTACTTCCTCAAATGGTAAATTGCGGCTTAACCTCTTTTCTGTTTGTTGACCTGCAACACAACTTCTTTTCAGAAACCAGATAGAAGTTATCTTCTATACAGCAAGTTAATAGTGTACCCCAACCGAATTTCTCACTGATTTATGGCCCCAAAAAGAAGGTGAAGACCAGGGATTTTGGTGGGAATTAAAACTCTGAGCTTTTTAAGTTTCGAACTGATGGTAAATCATCAACGCATAAAGCCAACAGAAAACTTAAAAGCTCAACATTAAGAAAACAAGTAGATAGTGCCTGAAGATGTATGGCAGTACCTGGAGATTCAGCTTCAGCATTTGCAAAAAAACGAGAAACTGAAGGAGAAAAGCCTGATACCCAAATGAGCAGGAATATAGCAATAAAATTACTCATGTTGCTTTAGTTGGGTGATTAAGGAAGAATGACACAGAGGAGGAGTATAAGAATGAGAGTTCAATCGCTTGAGAAGAGAAACATTTATTGGGGTTTCATTTTGAATCTCAATTTTGGCAGTACTAAGCTGTGAAGAAGAAATGGACAAAGGATCTTTCAAGGAAACCAAGAAAGCGCTTTTGAGTCCATCTACTACCAAATTGGATAATTGAAATGAGTAGGTTTGTTTGTTTATGAGAGAGAGAGAGAGAGAAGGGCAATATTGGAATGAAAGTAGAAATGAAGAAATCATGTGGCGGTTATGCAAAGGTGAGCGTTCAAAAGTTATGGGGACACATGACTCTGTGAGATGTGGATAGTGGGGAGAGAGAGAGAGACCGGGTGGGGAACCTGCCGTGCATGTGGGACATGCATGTTACACGACACAATGTTAAAGTTTGAAGCTTTATCTTCATTTAGCTCTTTCAAATCAAAGTTCGTGAAATGTCATAAAGTGTGAGAGGAAAAAAAATATAAGAATAATTTTTAAAAACAAAAAAGAAAAATAAAGTATGTTTTTTTATATATTGTGTTCATGTCTTTTTTAGACTATAGATAGGTTCTCATGAGTTCCATTATGTCATGGTTCATGAGCATGACTTGCCATAAATTTCATACTCCTCTTATCCTTAATATAAGACTTATTTAACTAATTTGATTAAATTAAAGAAGTTAGGTAGGTTAGTTAATTATAAGAAATGTGACATGTTTTTCCTAAAATACCATAATTATCTTTCTTAATACCCCATCTTCCTCTTCTACTTGATTATGGTTGAAAGAATATCCATAGGTGTAATTTAGAGAAAATTAATAAATATGAGAAATGGGTCTTATATTTAGAACCAAAACTAACTCAACAATTGGGTCTTATATTAAGGACCGGAGGAATATCTTTTCAGGGAGAATTAGAGAGAAGAACCTGGATGGAGTGATAGTTATTGAAGATGATCATAAAAATTATTATTATTTAAAAAGATCAAATACAAAAATATAAATTTAAAAATATGAGATTGCCCCTAATTAAACTTCCTATATTTTCTCCTATATAGCTAAGGGTAATTTAATGCTTTTAAATTTATATTTTAGTATTTGGTCTTTTTAAATAATTACAATTTTTATCATCCCTTTTAATAAATATAACTTTTAGTAGGTCTTTTTCCTAATTTTTTTTATGATAGGATGTTCTTGTTTTAGAATATGTCTATTTTTCGTTGACAAAAAAGATGAAAAATGACTGTAAAATACTTGATGAATTTTAAAAATGATAAACAGGTGATGCTGTATATTTTTATGAAAATTTTGATATGCTAAAATCACGTATTTATCATTTTAAAATTTAACTAATATTTTTTTGTCATTTTCTTGAAAAATTCTATTTTTCCTTTTTACTCTTACGAAGTTTTTGGCTAATACCCCTTGTTACTTACTTTATTCAATTGAGTTTTTATTATTTAAGATTTTGTAATAAATTCTTATAATTAATTAAAAAATTAATTTAATTTATACTTATAAACCTTTGCTAATATATAATTAAAATATTTCTCTCTCATCCTAGGATCAAATGTATATTGAAAATTTTAGCTTACATATAATTGATCATTCAACTAGCCCATACATTCCGCGAAGCGGCTATTATTAAGCTATAATACCACATACAAAAGGTAAATAATACAATTTATTATCGATTTTTCTAACATAATCATGATAAGTGATATCCACAATGACAATGATTATTGATATTGATAATGATAGTATTAATTAGATATATATATATATACACACACACATCAAGGAACAAAAAACCGGACCGGACACTAAATCGATTGAGATAGTGGTTTAAAGACCAGTGGATCAGATCGGGGTCAACCCAGGATCAAACCGGTGACATTAGAATAATATAATTTGATTGAAAATAACAAAATATAACAATGCTAATAATCACTAATAACAAAATACAAAGAAATATAATAATAGTTTGATTATAACAATAATAAAATATAACAATATTGAGAATTTTGATCTTTATAATTCCTAAATAACTAAAATTAATAGTTATTGATGTCAAACTTATCATTAAAATCCATTTAAATATATAATAATTGAGATATTAGGAACTGAATGAGAAAAAATATGACAAATAGCAAAACAATCATTATGACCGGTTCACACCTATTTGACCAGTTCGAACTGGTCCCTAGTTTAATCCATGAACCAAACTGGACTACTAACCGGTTCACCAGTTTTCCAGTTGAACAGGCCGGTCCGATCCCCTTTTTTTTACTCTCATATACATATACATGCATACATATATATGTGTGTGTGTTGAGAATAGACCAGTCCTCTAACTCAAGGTCCCTCCATATGATTTGGTATGTTCAAATCTCAACAACTTTACAACGATCTACAAGATTCATTCGCTCTCACAGTGTTTATAATTTAATTTTCAATTTAAATTCTTTAAAATAAAAGTTAAAATGTTTCTAAAATCGAAAGACAGTGATACAACAAAACTGACAGTAAATATTAAACTTATTTACAATGTTCACTCTTTTTAATTTGTTATTGCTAGGGTGCATATTCATATATAATCACGCTTTTTGTGGTGCCTAATAAGGAATTTCGCTACCTTATGACTGTTTTAGTTATCGCGATTGTTCATTATAAATTTAGTCACCAACTTCCTTTGATCCAATCTTTTTGTTGATGATTATATAATTATGTATGATCCAAAGGATTATGTAAAGCCTCTTGCTTGTTGTTATTAATCCATCGCAATACTAATTTGAGTTAATATGTATATAGTGAAGAAGACTATTTACCGATTTTTTCACTTTGAAAGAGATCACACATGAAAATTTTTTGTTCCATAATTGGATTAAAAACGACATTTGAAGACACGTTTCCCATATGACAAATTGACTATAAAAAAGCACGTGAAGAAGGAAAACAAAATAAAATACACGCAATCAGAATGGCCCCATACCAAGCAATGGGATTGAATCTAATAAAGAAAATTACTCCTATACAACATGACAAACCACCCACGTTACCCCAAAACTTAGCATCACGACAGTACTTACAACTTCCCGTGGATTACCAATGAAGCTGAGTCTAACAGAATAATTAATTTCTTATCACATGCCAAATGCAGAGAAATACTCACATTTAATACCTGATAGTGTTTTAAATAAAATTATCTACAATAAGATACTATCTATACTTAGAAAAAAAGTCTCGTATAATTTTTATATTTAATTCCATTTTATATGGAAGGAAAGAAAGACAAAGAATTACTAGGGGACCCCACATAAAAATAGTTAATAATAAATTTCCTGAAATTGAGTTATCATTAATCAGTCTCAATACCTTATCCTATTTGATGGGATCGACTCTATGAATCTTATAATGTTATTAAGTAATATAATCAGCAATTTGATAAAAGTGTTAAATTATTCAAGTGCGATTTTGCTAAATTACCACCTCAACCATCCATAACTTGTACTGCTTCAACTAATTGTCATTTTCATTCTCTTCCTCTCTGTTTTTCGAAACTGAGCAATTTTCTATGGCCATCATCATGACAACTCAGGCCAGTTAACATTGGACCTGAAAGCCATGCGCATGAAATAAATTTGGATTTAAATTTTTAAATGCCTTGGTTTTTAAATTGTTTCCCCACTCAACTCAACCATAAAACCATAATGGCATTATTTACAACCTTGTTTACTCATCGTGCCATGCCTAGCCACAAACCCCAATTGTTACAAGTAAAGCCTGTTCAAAAAGGAATTGATTATCCTTCTCTTCTGAATTTTCCCTATTTTCTTAAGAAAATTGAGAATAAGAATTGACATGTACTAAGATCATTAATTTGGATTCCTCATTTCAAGAAATGATGATTACCAGGAAAAAGACCATTCATATAATTACGGGGAACCAAACATGATATTGGAATAAAATTATTAAAAAAATAATAATATGCTTACACTAGAATGTTGTTATTAGGAATACAGAAGTTAAAACAAAGAGGACCATGTATGTTTGTCTCTCTTGTTACACTGCATAGTGCATAATTGCTGTTCATACAACAAAGACTAATCCATTTTTTTTGGCTGTATCCTTCTCTTAGAAGCAATCATGTTTAGAACATTGTTAGACACTAAGTATAGATACCTCTCTTGATAGGAATTCAAACTTTGATTCATCACGTTATGAGAAATTAGCTCATCCGCCTGACCAATCCGATTTGTTGTAATGCAACATCCTATGCTCTAAACGCCTCAATAATTATTTACTCACAATGCATCCCCCTGAATGAAGAAAAAAGACAACTCACATTATGCTGTCCGCCTTGGAGTTTTTGGGTCTGAAAAAAAGAAAGAGGGTCCCATAAAAATATTTAATTATAATAGGATTACAACAGTTACAGAAGAGATCAGAAGAAACAGGTAGGTCCATTCCAACTCCCAACTGGTACAAAACTCCATACGTATAGAGATGAACCATCTCTTCTTCCCCTGTTTCTCTGCAACTTTTTATCACGTTTAGAATCACATTAGTAAAGTACCTTTTGCCAAAACCAGTTTTGACATAAACCATAATCTTAGTTGCTTCTGCCAGAAAAGGCGATTCCCAAACACACCATGTTGGGCCAAAAAATAAAAAGCCGAACAATTCAGTCAATTTTCAACTTGGTAAACATGCAAACACACAAGACCTAAAGGATTGACACGAAATAAGGCAGAGCCTGATGTGTGTGCCTCCAATCTTTAATAGCATTAAACTACCAGTAAGGCTATTCATATTCAAATCTGCAACAGTGAAATCGGCACATACAACTAGGCACACCCTCCCCACCTTCCCCTTCCTTCCACTGTGTGTTTGTGTGTCAATGGAATAGGTTGCTTCATCCTTCCACATACCAATCCCACTCTTATACTTGCCCTTCCCTTTCTTTCTCATCTTCTCATTTCTCTCTCACTATTCACTCCTCCTCTAAATCTACCCACCACATTTAATCCCTTTTACTCACATTCATACACACCATAAAAGCTTTACATTATAGTGTGTGCGTGGGTATATATAATCAAACAGAACCATCAATAAACATGCAGTGGAGAAATGAGAGCAAACGATGTTGTGATTCTGACACTATTAGTGTCCCTCTCTTTGACTAGCCAGTCTCTAGCAGAAACCCGACAGAAAGACAAAGAAGATGAAGAATTGAGAGGGGTTAGAGGCAGAATCAGGCATGACAGTAACACTAAAAGAAGAAGCAGAGGAGGAAAAAGAACGAGAGAAAGTAAGTGTGATCAGTTTTACCTGTTTCTGTTCGACAAATGTGGTCACTGGCCTTTTCCTACATATCCTTCAATGGATAATCCCTTTGATCAGATCCCAACCTATCATTCTCCCCCATTACTGGCTTCTCCTCCGCCACGAATCCCTTCCTATTCACCAAGAATTTCTCCTCCTCCGTCACCGGTAATTCAAGTTTCTCCACCACCACCACCAATACCGGTGATTCCTCCGCCAGTTTCATTACCGCCACCTTCAGCGAAGTGCCCACCACCACTATGCCCGCCCCGACCTTTACCCAGTCCCTCACCCCCACCAGCTTGTCCCTGTCCACCTAAGTTGCCGTCGCCGCCTCCACCGTGTCCGTCTCCATCACCGCCACCGCCTCCACCTTGTCCGTCTCCATCACCGCCGCCGCCTTCATGTCCGCCACCGTGTCAACCATCTGTTTCACCCCCGCCGGTGATTCCACTACCGCCATTGCCCCCACTTCCGCCGTTGGTTCCATCACCACCACCACCGTCCCCGTCCCCTCCACCCGCTGTTCTTCCACCCTTGGTAATTCCACCACCGCTTGTTCTTACTCCTCCGTCGACAGGTGTCCTACCAACACCAACATTACCATGGGTATCACCTCCTGATGGAGACACTCATCCTCCGCCACCTGCATTGAATTTTCCCCCAGATGGATCCGTACCGGCACCGCCACTAGTCCCGATGTTCTCGACGCCGCCGGGAACGCCGCAGCTTCCGCAACAACCACCTGAAGGTCCACTGTTATTTCCGCCCCCTCTTATATCAAACCCAACAACGCCGGATACTGGCGTGGTCCCGACACCGGAGTTTCCTTTACCACAAACACCGCCGGTAGGTCCTGATGATCCAGTTCCTTTCACGCCACCAGTCTTTCCATTTCCACAGACGCCGGCCATTTCCCTGCAACCTCCGGCAACTCCACAACTCCCAGATGATCCCCAGGAACCACCGTCGTTTACGTTCACCCCACCAGCCTTTCCTGTCCCAGAGACGCCAGATATTACCTTGCCACCTCCGATGATTCCGCAAATTCCAAAAGAACCACCAACTTTCCCGTTCACACCACCAGTTTTAACTGCCCCAGAGACACCGGATGTTTTCCTTCCGCCGCCGGTAAATCCTGTGCTGCCCGGAGACCCACAAGAGCCGTTCCCGTTTGCATCCTCTCCGCCCTCGCCGGAGTTTATCCTTCCAGAACCATCGCAGGAGGCACCGTCACCACCACTAGTATTCTTACCCCCGCCATCTGATGCTTCTCCTTGAAGAAACTGACATTTCACCCCAAAAAAATTTTAGTTTTTCCCCTTTTTTTTTTTTTCAGAAAAACAGACGAGACCATGAAGCCAAATTACTAATTAATCCCCAAAAATCTGGTTCTAACAAATGAATATTAGGGAGGAAATAAAAACTTACCTCATTTTAAGAAGTAATCATTTTAATTATGTAAAAAAAACACATAAACAGTTATAATTATTTTAAAAATTAGGTTTGGATTTGAAGTATCAGTGACTAATTTTCAAATAAATTTAATTATACGCCATTTAAATTAAAATTTTAAATAAAACATACTATCAATGGACGTTTCAATGGAAGGCGCCCTTGTCTGTGTATTTAAAGTTTAAATTTCAAATTGCCCTAATTATTTGTCTCACAAATGAACCAAACCGAAAGAATAATACTTATATTAAGTATTTTATATTCATAATCTCAAGTTTCTACATCTGATCATATGTCATATTTTTAAAATATTCACATTTAACAGCATTTGATTATAAATTCAAAAGACACATGGTCATTTACAATTAGGAAATTTAACATAATAGATATAAAAAATTTGATCTAAGTTTTTTTAGCATAAAACCTTTGAATTTAGGTATCTTTATTTTTTAAAATATAAAATTTTACTTTATTAGTTCTTACTCCCTCCATCTATTTTTATAAGCAATTTTAAACTAAATCACATAAATTAAAAAGATAATTAAAATTAGTTAAAAACATTAAATTTGTAAAAATTAAAATTTTTCTCTAAAATATCATTATTTTTGGAATAAGTATAAGAAATTTATTATAATAAAGAAAATCATAAAAAAATAATATGTAATGGAGAGAGAGATTACATTAAAATATAATCTTTAGAACATTTATTATCTAAGAAATAATACTTTGAGAAATAAAAAATAAATATATTAAATACTAAAATAAGTTTTTAATAAAGGTAAAATGAAAAACCAGCTACAAAATTTTTTTAAAAAAAAAACCTTAGAAATATTGCTATATTTAAAAATAAGAAGAGGGTAATAATTTTTTCTTATAAAAAGTGAGCAAGGGATAGTTTTTTGACTTTTTCTTTGAGGGGAAGGGGGCCAAAAAGAGTAGCTAGTTAAAGTTGAGGGGGAGCGGCAGCATAAAACCCATGATAACAAGATTTCTCTCTATTGTAATTTAAAATTTGAATTCAGTTGGTATCGTAGGAAGGAAGCGGAGATAAATAAAATTGGCCAAAAAAAAAAAAGGAATAAATAACGACATGTATAAAGACGTAAATGCCCCTACAAAGGCAATTTAAAGATTTGAGGGATGTTGATGCAGAAATTCTCTCCCTCTTCTGTCTTCAACTTCGGAATTGAACTTCCCTGAGATTGATTCTCTTGCTTTCCAAAGATGTCATTTGAGTGGGCAGATCTGCCCTGTGAATGCTGGGAATTGATCCTCCGATCACTCAAGCACCGCCGTGACTACGACTCTGTATCTTTGGTTTGCAAGGGATTCTACTCTATCACCAGGCGCCTTCAATCCTCTCTCACCCTCTACCACTCAACAATTCCGTTCCTTCCTCGGTTCTTTGTCAGATTTCCCGCTCTCAAGTTCATCGATCTCAGTAACTTCACTGGCGATCTCAATCCCGTGCTTGCTCTAATTTCAAAATCTCGACTGGCAATCGATTCCCTCGACATCTCCAATCAGAAATCCCTTCCTGTGGACGGACTGCGAAAATTGGGTTCCAAGATGAGAGATAATATCAGGGTTTTGATCTGTTCCAATATTCGCGACCTTCAGGATAGCGATCTTGTCGTCATAGCTGATTCCTTCCCGCTTCTTGAAGAGCTCGACATTAGCTTCCCCGAATTTGATAACAAATTTGCCGTATCTGATTCTGGGTTCACGGCGATGACTATGAGGCTGAAAAATCTACGCAGAGTCGAAATTGGTAATTTCTTCATCACAGATGTCTCTCTTCATTCTCTGTTCGCGAACTGTGAGTTTCTGAGAGAAGTCGCACTTGAAGGTTGCAGCTTCTTATCTCAAGTGGGCGTTGCTTCCGCAATCCTCAAGAGACCGTATCTCATTTCTATCTCCCTCAGTAATATCAAGGATCTATGCCTACCCATTATTTCAGATTTTATTGATTCACTGAGGATTTTGAAAAGTTTGACCGTTTTTGAATTTGTACATGTCTCTGTATCGGATGAGTTGCTCTGTTCAATGGCAGATGCCGATCTTCCATTGAGTAAGTTGATCCTCAGTAAATGTTCCGGCTATACATATGCTGGAATAGCTTGCTTGTTGGCAAAATGTCAATCAGTTCAATACTTGGATCTTCAGAATGCTAAACTCACAGATCAAGATATGAGAGAACTATCTTTGTTTCTTCGTAATGTGACCTTCATAGACCTCAGTTTTTCTCCAAAGCTGACTAATTCAACATTTCTAGCTCTCACAAGAAACTGCCCTTTGCTTAGTGAGATAAGAATGGAGAGGACGGCTCTTGGGACAGAAGGCCTAAAAGAAGATAGTTTGAAGGATTTTGTTTTCGACTCTCGAGTAAAGACTCTCTATTTGGGTGGTAACTTTAAATTAAAGGACGAAGATGTCAAAGGGTTTGTTTCAGTGTGTCCCAATTTAGAGCTTCTCGACATAAACACTTGTTGGAATATCACCAAAGGTGTATTTGAAGCTTTAAGGGACTGCCTTAAGATTACTCATCTAAGCTTGGCTGGCTGTGCAGCGGTGACTGGATTTGAGATAGGATTTGAATTACCCAAACTGGAGGTGATGAACTTGTCGCAATCAAGGATTGATGACGAAGCCCTTTCAATAGTTTCAAAGACTTGTTGTGGGCTAACACACTTGGAGTTGCAGAATTGCTTTAATGTGACATCAAATGGAGTGAGGTACGTGGTGGGAAAATGCACAAGACTGAGAGACATAAATTTGAAGCACTGTAATAAAGTGAGTGCTGATATTATTCCTTGGATGGTATGTTCAAGCTCTTCATTGAGAAAAATAATTGCTCCCCCCAGTTTTCGTGCTAGTGAGAGCCAGACAAAACTCTTCTTGCGGCATGGATGCCGTGTTTGTTAGTAATTAATAGACTCTGAAGGGCTTCCCTGATATGTAAAATATGTCTTCATTTATCCATGGCAAACTGATCAATAAATTCGTATTTTGCATTTATTATGTTTATGCTTTGTGAAGACCTCTTTGTTTTTTCAATTGTAATTAAGTGGTAATGACCGGTGGAAAACAGTGTTTTTCTGTTTCTTGTGTTAATGAAGCTGGAGAAGATCAAAGGTTTCTTCGAGATTGTTATAAATAGAGAATGTCTCCCCAAGTGATGCCTCACGAAAGAAATCTTTTTCTTCTGAGTTTGGAGCTCATTTGGTTTTTGTTTGATATTGATATGCTTTATTGATTGCCTCTTTATCTCTTCTTGGGCAGTCATCACCTCTTCCTGATATGCTTCAGTGATATTATTTCTTCTCAATCTTGCGAAGTTGACTGCACGTATTCTGTAGCAAAATTCGTATAACTTTCGGTATTCCCATTGGAAAATTGATTGCTGAGTTACAAGATAGGATGGTCAAGAGGCGTGGCCAGGAAAGGATGTGCTAGTTTGTACTTTCTAAACCCAAAGCTTTATCCCAAAAAAAGAACTGCTAAAACTCAATACAGCTTGAAATTATTGATACCTAGGGCACCTTTTAGAAGAAATTATTGGTTCATAATATCACTTTGTTTCTATTTATAAGTTACTTATAGGGAAAAAATTGTTTTTAAATACTACTTCGGTCTTTAATATAAAAGCTGGTTTAATTTTTAATTTGGTTCTAAATACAAAACTTCAATATATTTTGTCTCTTATATTTATTCATTTTTCTCAAGATAATCCTTGTAGTAATTGCAAATATTACAAGTTTCATCACATAATAATTCTAGTTATTACATATATTGACATATTGGTAAGGGTATTCCAGAGAAGATAACACCTATTCATTATAAATAACTAACTTAACAAACTTTTCTAATCAATTTAAATTAGTTAATTAACTCTTATGTTAAGAACCGGAGGTAGTATAAGTTATTTGTAGGATAATTAAATAGTTTTTTCTAATTTTATTCTTGTTGACTTAATAAATACACAAAGAGATAAAGTAAATAGGTAAAAAAAAATATATAACATATTTTTAACATCCTTTCTTTAGTAAGGGCAAATGCGAAAAAAAATTATCAATTTAGTGCATTTATTGATTTGCAGACTAGGAGTACAAGTGAGTTATTTTAAAAATAGAGTGGTGTAAATTATTTACAGAGTTATTTATTACTTTTTCTATCCTTAATTTAAGATCCAATTATTGAGTTGATCTTGGTCCTAAACATAATATTTATTTCTCATATTTATTACTTTTTCTAAATTAACCCCTATTGATACTCCCTCAACCATAATCAAGTAGGAAATGGAAGGAAGATATTGAGGAAGATGATTATGATATTTTAAAAAAAAATGTTATATTTTTTACAATTAACTAGTTTACTTAACTTTTTTAATTTAATCAAATTAGTTAAATAAGTCTTATATTAAGTGTGAGAGGAGTATTACTTTACAATTTTATTCTAGAAGAAATTTTTAGTTTATAATGCAAGTCATTTAGAGGGGCGTCATATTTGAATAGGATTAAAACTGTATTTTTTTTTTCCTTTAAACAGACTTAATGAATCAACCACTTTCCTTTGGTGAGGTAATTAAAAGTGATTTGGCATTGTAAATGCAAATTAATTCATATTTAAATAATAGATGGTTTAGGTACAACATTTCATATGACTATTATTATAATTATAATATTTTATAAATTAATTTTTTGTACTACAAGTATAAATTATCCAGATTAAATTTTAATTGTTTAAACTTGTTTATTGATATTTAAATAATATTATAATAATATTTTATAAGATTTAACATCTAAACCGTTAACTTCTTGATTCAA